ACACTCGGTTTTAATTATGGCTGTGAGTTGGGTAATTTGTTTGGGAGAATGCATTCATTTACATTAATGTCAATTGTGTGATTTTCCAGGTTTCATTCATGAAACAGACTTGGAGGTGCAGCAGAGACATGGGTCTCAGTTAGATTTTGACCGATTGCAATGAGTTGCTTAATTTCTTATAAATGATATCCATATTGAGAACTGCATCCTTATTTCTGTCTTTCACATTTACACTGCATCTCGTGTTAAGGCATGTCATGTCCCATTAATGCAACTGCGGCGTGTGTGTGAGCTCGATTTGGCATTGCTTGTCCTCATGACTTTAATTTATTGAGTGTGCATCGCACGTCCCGTCATGTATTACGGTGGCGTCCGCTTTGATCTGTTATCGCATTGCGTCGTTTGTCAACGCTTTATAACCATGGTTTGTAGAGGCAATAACTTGCTTAATGATGATCCAGTGAGAAAGAAAAAGTAGGATACATTTCCATTACTAGTAGGGTTTTACCCCTCTATTAAAAAACAGGCCAAGTTGAAAAAAATTGTTGGCCCAAAATTTGGGATACACAGACCAGACCAATAAGGACTATTTAAATATAGTCGACTCGATTGTCCACGTGCGGTTTATCCGATTTGCTGATTAACCGCGCACCTTAGATTTTGACATAAACGAATAACTCATGTATTTTCCCTTAAGCCCAAATTAATAATCTGAAAATATAATAATAGGGGTTTTCCCCTTTTTTCTGGCAACAAAACTGAAACCTTTTTACAAGGATTCATGTCTACATTAACCACAATACCTGCAGTCAAAATGCAAACAAAAAACATACTATGATAATATATGATGCATTGTCCTTGAAACTGATTGGTCCACACCAAGCGATGGCTTTTGGCGTCCTCTGGTCGAGCACCAATTGGGTCGAGGCTCAAAAGCCATCCCTTGGTGTGGACCAATCACTTTCAAGGACAATGCATATATTATAGTATTTTTTTGTTTGCATTTTGACTGCAGGTATTGTGGTTAATGCAGACATGAATCCTTGTAAAAAGGTTTCAGTTTTGTTGCCAGGAAAAAGAGGAAAACCCCTATTATATTTTGGTACTGGCAAAGGAGGTCTAATGATGTAAATCTGAAAATAGTTATACATTGTTATTCTTGGACATGTTTATTACAAGTCCGAAATCCACGTGATCGCCTCTATAGTACAGTCGTTGCATATCTTTACAACAGTGGGCAGAGTTTGATTGATGTTGATTGGTGTGGCTCTGCTGTCCACTTAGTTGGCCCGAGTATTCTGCGCAGGCAAATGTGTTTTTGGCAAAGGGATCCGCGGAAAATGTATATTTTTGTATTATCCGCGATTTTTAATTATCCGCGGCCGTCCTTCCCAACATTAGCGTGGATAATTGAGAGTACTGTATATATATTTGCGTGTTTTCCGTAACAGCCACCGTATACTTCCATACTGCTAGTTACAAACTGGGACACATGGTGGAAAGTGTCAAATAATCCATGTGCACACGTGATTTTTCCAAACTAATTTTAGAGTTCTGACCTGCATGATGAAACAGTTTTAGCTCTGGCTGCTTCGTTCATTCAGTGAAGGAGTTTTGCTGTGACGTCTGTAAAACAACGTGGAAGGTTTTCTCTGGAATGGTTAAAGAATTTCCCGCGCGGCGCCACATTAACAATTCATAATCTTGCTCTCTCCGCTATTTTACACAGGTTTTTTTTAATGTATTTTTTCCCGTGCTAAATTTCCCATCAATAGGCACCGGACGATGGAGATAGGTGGCTGCCGTTTGTCGCTTGTGATGTTTCTGTGTGATTTTGTTGAAATTTCCCGTATTCAACAGAGTGCTCGAATAAAACGGGATAACTTTAACCGCAAAATAATACTGTGGGTTCATATTCTTGGTTCTTTCGGTAAAGTCACGTAGAAGGGAAACAATTACCGAAAGAACCAAGAATATGCATCCCTGCAGTCACGAAAGCTTTAAATCAAAATTGTATACTGTCAGTGTTTAACAGCAGCTGTACATTTGTCTTGCATGGCTTGACCCTAGCCCAGGGGTCGGGAACCTATGGCTCGCGAGCCAGATGTGGCTCTTTTGATGATTGCATATGGCTCGCAGATAAAACAAAATATTCTCACTTGTTTTAATCCATCCATCGATTTTTCACTGCGCATGTCCTGTTCAGGGCTGCAGGAGCAATTGTCCATTATTTTAATTGGATGATACTGGCCTACGTTTGCCGTTGCTGGGTAAAACAGGTAAACGCCCCCTTTTGAATCAGTCTGAGACTGCGTCTGCTCGGTCATTAGCTCAAAGCTAACCCTTCGACGAAGAAGATGGCGAAAAGAAAAAAAGACGACGAGTATCGTACATTTCAGGACAAATGGACCAAAGAATTCGCCTTTGTGGAGAGAGCGGGTTCTGCGGTGTGTCTAATTTGCAATGACAAAATTACATCGTTGAAACGGTCGAATGTAAAGCGGCACTTCGACACGCGCCACGCTACCTTTGCATCAAAATACCCTGCGGGAGACAGCAGAAAGAAAGCGTGCCAAGAGCTTCTGAGCAGGGTGCAAGCTAGCCAGCAGCAACTCCGCGTATGGACCCGGCAAGGTGACTATAATTCGGCTAGCTTTGCTGGTTCTTTAGCAATAGTGAGGAACGGAAAACCATTCACAGATGGCGAGTATGCTAAAACGTTCATGCTGGATGTAGCCAATGAACTTTTTGATGATCTTCCGAACAAAGACAAGATAATCAAACGGATACAAGACATGCCTCTGTCGGCAAGAACTGTTCATGATCGTACCATCGTGATGGCAAACAAAGTGGAGGAAACGCAAGTGAAGGACATAAATGCAGCGCCGTTCTTTTCTCTGGCTTTGGATGAGTCAACAGACGTGAGCCATTTGTCGCAGTTCAGCGTGATTGCAAGATATGCTGTTGGTGACACACTGCGCGAAGAAAGTCTTGCTGTTCTGCCATTAAAAGGGTCCACAAGAGGTGAGGATTTATTCAAGTCTTTCATGGAGTTTGCTCAAGAAAAAAGTCTACCTATGGATAAACTTCTCTCAGTGTGTACTGATGGTGCTCCGTGTATGGTGGGGAAAAACAAAGGATTTGTGGCGCTTCTCCGTGAACATGAAAATAGACCCATCCTAAGTTTCCATTGCATTATACACCAGGAGGCACTTTGTGCTCAGATGTGTGACAGGCAGTTTGGCGAAGTGATGTCGCTGGTCATTCGTGTGATCAACTTTATTGTTGCCCGAGCCTTAAATGATCGCCAGTTTAAAACACTGCTGGATGAAGTTGTAAATAACTATCCTGGTCTGCTTTTGCACAGCAATGTGCGTTGGTTGTCAAGAGGGAAGGTGCTTAGCCGTTTTGCGGCTTGCCTGAACGAAATCCGGACTTTCCTTGAAATGAAAGGCGTCGGGCATCCTGAGCTAGCCGACACCGAGTGGCTCCTCAAGTTTTACTATCTCGTAGATCTGACTGAACATCTGAACCAGCTCAACGTGAAAATGCAAGGCATTGGAAATACAGTGTTATCCCTTCAACAAGCTGTATTTGCTTTTGAAAACAAGCTGGAGCTTTTCATCACGGATCTTGAAACAGGTCGTTTACTACATTTTGAAAAACTGAGCCAATTTAAAGATGCATGCACAGCAAGTGAGCCCATTCAAAACCTTGATCTCCACCAGCTAGCTGGCTGCACATCCAGTCTCCTACAGTCCTTCAAAGCACGCTTTGGAGAATTTCGTGAGCACACTCGTCTTTTTAAGTTCATCACCCATCCAAACGAGTGTTCACTGAACACAGCCGACCTGAATTACATCCCTGGTGTCTCCGTCAGAGATTTTGAAGCAGAAGTGGCTGACCTGAAGGCCTCAGACATGTGGGTGAATAAGTTCAAGTCACTGAATGAAGATTTGGAAAGAATCACACGACAGAAAGCGGAGTTGGCGAGCAAGCACATGTGGACAGAAATGAAAAAACTCCAACCCGAAGACCAGCTGATTCTCAAAACTTGGAACGCGCTTCCTGTCACATACCACACACTGCAGCGTGTGAGTATTGCTGTATTGACCATGTTTGGATCTACGTATGCATGTGAGCAGTCATTCTCACATCTTAAAAACATCAAGTCCAACCTACGATCACGTTTAACGGATGAAAGCCTCAACGCTTGCATGAAGCTTAACCTCACCAAGTACCAACCCGACTACAAAGACATCAGCAAATCCATGCAGCACCAGAAGTCGCATTAATGGTGAGTGTTATAACAACATTATTTAAAAGAATCAATTCAGAGGCTTATTATACTGACATTTAGTTGAATTCACTTTTAAAATATATTATATGGCTCTCACTGAAATAAATTTCCAAATTTTTTGCTTTCATGGCTCTCTTAGTCAAAAAGGTTCCCGACCCCTGCCCTAGCCAATTTAAATATTTCTTTTTTCTAATCCCCTCCTGGTTGTTTGATGCAGACTTACCTTTTAGTTTTTTTTTACATTTCATGTTGGTTTTTAACAATTCTGATCATATTGGAATGGATTGGCCATGCTAATTCCTTACCGTAATGAAGACATTAAAACCATGCAATGTATTCCGATAATATTCAATTACGACTGAAGGGGTGGTATGGTACATCAATATAATCTAATTATATTGCTTGCGGTACTTGGATTGACTGGCATGCGTTAAGAATCCATTTTTCGATTGATATATTTTGTATGTAATGGCTTCTCAATCACCTCTTGCAGTCACTATAGGCGCTAGCATCCACCGGTAATGTTAAAATACAAAATTATTGAATCGAATCATGACAAATCAACAAATCGCAGGACCCGCTGAATCATTCCACCCCTGTACACGCCAGCGTTCAATGCCGCAAGTGTCGTCGATGGAACATTTCTAAGCCGTAACATTCCTGCTGACCGATGGTGACCGACTGCATTTATGTGTTGCAGGGACAACTCAAGTTTTCGCAACACGGAGGTGTTCCGCAGGTGAAAATCCCATCGTGCGAAATTTCCTCATCCACCCTCCTTTTCCTAGACCTCACCGTCGGCGCGTGCCTACCGGCGAGGGCAGGCCAGGGCGGTCCCACGAAATGCCGCCCCGCTCCCTTTGACCTCTTCGCTGTCTCCAGAGGCCCCGGCGTCCTTGCGGAAAAATGCCCTCTGGTTGTCCCGATCGGTTTCACAAGCATGCCCCCTCCCCCCCCCCCCCCCCGGGGTGGCTTTCATCAGCCAGCATCAGTTTCTGAGCAACTCTGTACGTGTAAGTTATGCCTTTTGTCGTGTCCCCGTAATTATCGCACGGCTTTCGGAATGCGGTGCAGCGGTCTCTTAATAGCGGGCGCGTAATGGTTCGCACGCCAGCTTCCTGCACGATTCAACGCTTTTTCAGGGCGTGTGTGTGGGGGGGGGGCCGCGGATCTATTCAAGAATCGATTAATCTTTTGTCTCATTTGTTCCGCCTCGGTTGCATTCTCATAAACTCCCATGAAAATGTATATAATTTCGATGCATCAAATAATCAATTGTTGCAGCTCACGATTCGTCGGGCGAATGACGGGCGGCGTGAGAACTGATTTTGAGCGATGAGTGGATCGTTACATGCCTAGAAATTAGAAAAATTTACTTTCTCAGCATGCGCCTGCCTTCCGTGCGCACGGTGAGCAATGACGACAACTCCTCGTCAAGTTACAAACAGGAGGTTTCCAGGCGCTCTTTCACAAAAAAAATATTTGTCACTGAAGTGGCAGATATGTGAGCGGGGCATTTGTTGCAGAATTTACAGCACAGAACACTGCACGGAGAGAATAATGTAGATTCGTCAAAGAAACTCGAGAAAAGGCATCGAGAGAGTTGCGAAAGCCAAGTGCCGATAATGCCAAAAACCCCACCTCTCCTAATTGATGCCACTATTTTTTAACGACCCTGTTCCCCCCCCCCCACCCTTTTATGAAGCGTCGCGAACCCTGGGTTTTGCTCGTGAAACCGATGTCCCCCCCCCCCCCCAACCGCGAGTATTTTCCTACGGACGCATCTTAAGCCGCAGTTCCGCCCGCCCTCAGAAGTTTGCTGTGCAATTCATCAGCATTGACATGAAGCATTGGGTTATATTTTTTTACCAAAAAAATAATCGTTTTGAACTCCAGTGCTCCCTCCCCACTTTTGCGAATCGATGCAAAGGAGCCCCCCCCCCCCCCCCCCCCCCCCGTCGCTCGTGCCACAATTATTCGCGATGAAAACAAAATTATCGTAAAGGAAACTTTTTTTGTGTTGCCCACGAGGAAGCCGACCAGACCAGACCTGGGGTAAAATCGTAAATTACGAAAAAAAACTCCAACATTGTTCGGTGAATTCACGGCGACATTATGGTGAATGACAATTACAATTGTAATTGAACCCAGGACTGAAGCAAACCCTTTGGATGATGGGTCACTCTTAATATAAAGGCTTGTATGGCATAACGTACAGGGCTCTATGAAGAATTGCACGTATGTGTGTATATATGTTCAGTTTGTATAGAAATGCAGTATATGCATTGTGTAATATATGTGCAGTGTATATGAAGAGGCTCGCATATATATACTATATAGAACATGAAGGGCACAGTTTTAGAGAATGCGAATAACGTACGGAGCCAATGTTTCGCTTATTGGAAACTCCGTTTGTGTCTTTTCATACGCGTGCCATGAAAATACACGGCTCATCTACATGTATATATGGTATATGTATGCAAAGTTTTAAGAGTAGCTGGCAAATTTCACTGATGAGTTTAAACATTTGGCAAGTCAAGATGTAAAGGTTAAATCCATCGGTACACACAAGGGCATTCTGGACATTTTAGAAGGCACGTCCGAAAGACGCCGAATTGTCAATTGCTAAAATTTCCCTATATAAATAGTAATACTAATAATATATCCATATGTCAAGCCACTGCTGAATGAAGGCATCCCCCATGCCATGTCGGTCATGGTTGTTTGACCTTGCGTCTCCACCGCGGGTCAGCGTGGGTTGATGAAGTTGTGGGTGGGTGCCTCGGGACTCGGCATAGGGTGCCACGGTGGCGAGATGTTAACTATACTCTTTGGTTTATTTGGTAAAGTCACGTAGGTGAAAAAATAAATATAAAAAATAATAGAAATAAATCAATCACGACGTTTCGATTGCAACACAAGCAACCATCATCAGGTGTGATAACCAGCACATTTCCATCATCAGGTGTGATAACCAGCAAATTTCCTTGCTGTGGTTATCACACCTGATGATGGTTGCTTGTGTTGCAATCGAAACGTCGTGATTGATTTATATCTATTATTTTTTATATTTATTTTTGATTTACTTTTCCACCTACGTGACTTTTACCGAAAGAACCAAAGAGTATGGATCCTTGCAGTCACAAAAAATTTCAAATCTAGAATGAGATGTTAACTACCTCGCGAGGTATACAGGAGGTCGTGGGTTCAATCCCTACGCTGACACCTGTATATTTGGAGTTTGCATGTTCTCCCTGTGGTCGCGTTGATTTTTCTCCGGGTTCTTCAGTTTTCACCTCCAAATTTAGAAACATGCGTCCGGGGGTATTTGGCTGCTGTAAAATGCCCACGTGGTAAGCCATTTGATTGAGCTATAATTTGTGGCCATGTCGCTTCTAAAAAAAAAAGAGCTGGATAGCCGAGTGGGCCTTACCTGTCAAAAAAAAACTTCAAAAAAAACTTGGAGGCTGAGAAAATTCTCTCCGTTTGGCAGCAAAAGTTTTGTTTATGGTATTTTAACGTAACCACGTGTTCCTAGAGGGAATGTCACACCCGGCTCCCATTTCTCTTGTTGTTGCATTGGACACGAGCACAATCCGAGCTAATTTTCCCGCAATCTCATCACGCTATGTTTACAAGTAGTTATCAATGACAGTAGGTGTATAATAGCACGGGCCGGAACATTCGATCGCTTCGTATGTAGACGGGCATCCAGGGTGGGCAGAATTCACGGTCGGTACACCACCCCTCGGGTAGACCGCAGCACAAATGGGTCCAACATAGGTCGATCGGGCAAGCCCCGTGCGGCGGAGGGTAAAGGTGCCGGTACTTCTGGCCCATTCCAAGAAGTTTAGCCGGTGTGGAAAAGTAGGATAAAAAAATACCCTCCAGAGGGTGGGTCTCATTGTGGAGTCCCTTCTGCCAATCAGTGGCATGAGCAAGTAATTGCAGGGTGCACCACTTAGCTTCTGTTACAGCATCTCGTAACAAAAAAAAGCACGAGCGTCTCATTGCAACAGGCATAGACAAAAGACTACCTTTGCTTTCTTGCCGTTGCTGCTTCTGCTTGGTGTACATGTTTTTTTTTGTACACGGCGTGGCGCCTTCACTGGACGCGTAATACACTCCTAGGAGATGACGCTTTGGGTGACTGTTCGACCATTCGAAATCTTCGGGTTTTCATCTAAACGTAACAACCGTGGACGATTATTCCACCATCGGTGTAGGAAACATACTTTAGAAACGCGGATTGGAAGAGGTTCTTGAGCCATGCGTGGCGCGTTCTTAACAATACGGGACGCAACGCTGAATGCGCTCGTATGTTCACATTTGGTTGCGGTTTTTGATTGTCTAGTTTTGCAATGGCTAATTACCTTTTGTCTCTGGGCAGCCTTTCTCTGAATTTCATTTTGGTGGGGAGCCAAAGGGTATTGTTTAAACGGAGATCCCACCGCTGCCCCCCCCCCCCCCCAATATAATCTAATCTCTTTGCTCCGCAATGTTTACCCACGACGTGTGTATACGCTGCAACAGAAGTGTCCGCTATCTGAAAATACTTCGCTGCTGTCACCCGTGCCATTCAACTTTTTGGCGATGTGCCGACGGTCATCGTCCAAAACGATGACCGTCAGCACATTGCGATGGCTATAGCAGTAAGGATTCAATATTGGAAATATCCTCCCAAGCATTGAAATGCGGTGCATCTCGTCGTCGCAAATTTGACTCGTTGTAGAGGTACAAATAGATACGTGAAAAGGTCGGATTTGTCTTTGTTTCTACAGATAAAGACAGTTGCACCGTGCATAAATGCTGCACGGTGTGTGGGCAGGTAATTGGTCAGGGAGTATATATGTGGAGGTAAGAGGATGCGATGTGCCAGATAGTGTAGTAATCGGCCCACTGAAATATTGCAATAGGTAACGGCTATTCTGGTACAGATGGGATGTGGATTGCACGAGGGAGCCAGCAAATGAGGGTTTTCAGACCTTGCGGTTGTCCTCTTTCCAGGTATCCCTCGATTTACGAAAAGGGATGCGTTCTTCAAAAAACAAACACAAAACGAAATTTTGTCACTCAGAAATGGCTTTCCCATTCATTGACTATAAAAAATGGATGTGTTTTGGACAGTCATACCAGCTCTACTCCAAACCTAAAAAAACATCCACCTATATCGCTTTTCACAACACAAAAATGATAATATTTAAGGACATATTAAAACGATTGAATAAGAATGCATCAAAAACCAAAATAATTCACCTTTTCACGGAACTCACTGAAAGATCTGCACGTTGAAATGACCGGCAAGGTGATGTGGAGGCGTTGCTCTTGCACTGCAGGGACATCGTGACGCTGTCGCGGACGGACGACGCATCCTCCCGGACGGTTCGTGTTTGGTGATCTCACAGCGCGTGCCGCGGTGACATTTCTTCAACACGGAAAATTCGATTTCGCTCATCGAAAATTGTCCGTAATTTTGTCACTTGCACGAACGCGAAATTTCGTAAGCTGAACGGTCGTAATTCGAGGGATACCTGTACCTGTGTTGAACATTCTATGAAGACCAAGGGTATGGGGTCGCTGTTAAACTCAAGCCACTGCAATCAAAGTTCTGCCTTTAATGAATCAGCCACCGCTTCCACACGGGGCCCACATAGTTGGAAGAGGTCAGGGCAGTACATCTTGACTCACAATATCTTAAAAAATATATAATACTCAAGATGTTCATCCTATATTAATGCTGAAGGTGTAACAATTCGTAATTTCATGTAATGGGTTCACGTAATCTCTTGCAGCCAAGTGGCGTCCGCTGACATTCCCCCGCAGTGTAAAACAAAATAACCGATCTTGAATTGTGATCCTAATGGTGACTTTTCATAATTTCACCAAGGGGTTGAATAGTTACACCTCTCGTAAATAGAAAAACTACTTTAAAGCAATTCCAAAGTTGCCATGTCTCGTCATACGAGTTGTTAAAATAATCTTCAACTGTTGTGTTTGAAACCAAGGAATTTATTTGTCATGGGGTTTATTTTGTAGTCGTGGTGTTTTTTTTTGCATTTGGATTTTTTTTTAAATGTGGGTAAGCGAGGGTTGGGAATTACAAAAGTTTCAACATCACCTCCGCTACGCTGATTGCAACAATGTATACATGTTTTCAAACAATGGTCAACAGGTATGCAGAGGTCACATCAGCCGAACGTTAGCTTCCTGTTGCAGTTTACTCGGCTGAAGGACAAAAACTATTTTTCCTGCATTCCAGTCCACAAATTTAATTGCTAATTCTCAAATCATCATCATCGGTTCTATGCAGCATCGTGAGTTCTATGCAGCAGGCTCATTACACAAGATGTCTTAAGTTATGGTTGGCTTTTATTGAATAACATCCACAGTAATTTGGTTTCACAGATTTCTGTCTTTCGTTGGCCATTGCCTTGAGGCCGGGTCGCGGTGAAAAATGATTACATGCCGACCGAGCGCGCGGTATTTGAGTTGAAGGTTGTGGGAAAGCACTGGTGTTTGGCCATATCTCACTCATGTCATTGCTTTTAATGGAAATAACATAGCACTTTTTACTTTTCATCGTAATAAAACGGAAGCCGGTACCGTAAAGCGCGTGCGTGTGTGTGACATGTGTTTATATTGCAGCTATTTTCTTTTTTTAAGGGCTTGTGTTCACAGGGTGTGTTTATAAGGACACCATGGTGGCGACATGTTAACTCCGTCACCTCCTTGTGGGTTCGATCCCAACCCTCACGACTGTATATTTGGAGTTTGCATGTTCTCCCCGTGGTCGCGTCGATTTTTTTCCGGGTTCTCCATGGTTTTCTCTCCACGTTTAGGCACAAACCTGCGTTTTAGAATATTTGGCTGCTATAAATTTCCACATGATAAGCCACTTCATTGAGCTTATCACTTGTGGCCCAGGTCGGTTCTGAAAAAGATCCATCCAGCTCAGTGGGCCTTACCTGGTAAAATAAAATAAAATGTATATAGTAAATGAGTTGGCAATTCAAAGCGCATTACATCACATCTATTCTCAACCGTTCCAATGCCACGCGTCAATGTGTGGCGATGAGAGGGCCCAACCAGTGGCGGCAGTTCCTGCGCATCACGTGGTGTGACCACCACATTCGGGCATTAGTCCAGCGGTCGTATTTTGTTTTCTTTCTCCAAATTAAGTGATGCGCAAATGTGGATCTCGGTTCCGTAACGCGCACACACGCTTTATTTTTCAGAAAACAGGGCAACCCTGTCGCTGCGTTAACCCCGGGGGGGGGGTGGGGGGGCACGCGAGGAGGGCAACCACCGGGTCTCAAACCGTGAACTTCGGCAAATGAGTGGCTACCGCGCATCACCGCTTGGCCACGTCTCCTCTTGCATCGGTTCGCATTAAAATTCTCGGATCGTTCTTAACGGTCGGCACGGAGTGGTGGGCTCGGTTGAAGTTCTTCAACACGCGCCTTCACATGGGAAGCGAGCGACGTCTGAACCGGCGTTGGGGGACTCCGCTTCGCACAGCCCGACTGAGCAGTCCAGAGTATGGTCAAACAACTCCCATGGACCGATGGAATGGAGGGGGGTTGGGGACCTTCATCCAGGAGTGGGCTGACAAAGGGTCAAAAGTTAATCATCACAAATGCAGACTGATCTCGTATACGGAGACGAAACATTTCTGTACAGGGATGATTTCGTGGAATTACTTTTCGAGGCCAACATGGGTAAGAAAGTTGGGGGGGGGGGGGGGAAACACAAAATTGTGAATAGATTACTGCCCATTAGGAAACTAATGGGCAAAAATGACAAACTAGCGAACGAGTTTAAAGTGTACAGTTAAAACTTTGCCAAAGTGGACTTTGCTCTGACCTTGAGTGTCACAAATGTGTGCCATCCCCTTTGCATCACCACCAATTCCGGGTACATGTGAAACTTAATTGACGTCTGCGCAATACTTTCCCCGCGTCGGGATTGCGTGGGGGATGCCGCTGAGTGAAGCGTAGGAGTCCACAGTTTGGTCCTCGTTATATTTAATTGCTGTCTTCAAATATGAATTGATGCCGTACGTATTAGTCCGTGGGTCAAAGGTCACTGGCAACAAATTCAACTCCGGTTTTTCATTAGGGTCACCAAAGGGTTCTTAAGGCACTAGGGGTGACATCCGTGCTTTTGCTCTTCCGTCCACTCGCTTCTTATGCAATTGACCAGGGTTCGTGTCGACACCTAGGTCGACTCGGCCTCAAATGAGTACCTGAGTGCGGTGTGTAGTAAACATCGCCACCGGGGGAGACAAAGGCGGCCGGGCGTGGTGCTGGCCACCCGACCTCCCTCGTGTGCCGTGCCGGCCTTCACAGGTGCTGCTCGCTAACAGCACTTGCCCCAACAGTCTGTCAAGGCTACACGGGGGATCTTTGTAGTACCCTGGCCGGTTTGTGTTTTTCACAGCTTTGGGGAAAATAAAAAATAAAAAGCGCCTTCAATAAATCCGGTCAGTTTGGCACGAGCGTCCATCGCGTTACAGAATTTAACGATCGATTATGAAGTTACGCAAGTTTTATTCGCTGATGTGAAGGATGGATAGCATCGGCTTGAAGGAAGACCTTCATCCAGCAGTGGATTGATCACGGCTGTTGATGAATCTCAGTAATTGTTATCATGTAAATGCAAGGTCAGCGCATTGGCGCTTTACTTGAACCGGTTATGGAAAACCCCCCCCCCCCCCCAAATAGACAGCCCTTGGGAAGGCTTCTATTTAACAGTGGATAGACCATGGCTGATGACAAACACTATGATATCTTGATTTGAAACTTTCGTGACTGCAGGAATCCATACTCTTTGGTTCTTTCGGTATCGAAAGAACCAAAGAGTATGACATACTATGATAGTAAAAAGGCCAGAGCATTATCGGTTTTCGTGAACCGGTTTTTTTCGGAGGTCTTCACCCAGCAGTGGATTGATCATGGCTGACAAAGATAACGATACAACAGTTCTTTGTGGATTAGCTTGAACCGGTTAGACCCCCCTCACATAGGCTTAAGGGAGGCCTTCATCCAGCAGCGGATTGATCATGGCTGACGAAGATAACAAAACAGCAGTTCTTTGTGGGTTAGCATGAACCAGTTCGTACTCAGACAGAGACTTAAGGGAGGTATTCATCCAGCAGCGGATTGATCATGGCTGACAAAGATAACGATACAACAGTTCTTTGTGGGTTAGCATGAACCGGTTCGACCCCACACATAGCCTTACGGGAGACTTTCATCCAGCAGTGGATTGATCATGGCTGACGAAGATTATAACGATAGTCCTCCTATGCGTGGGTTAGCATGAACCGGTTCGAACTCAGAAATAGGTTTTAGGGAGGCCTTCATCCAGCAATGGAACGACCGTGTATGGCAAGGCCGTAATTATAATATATATTGGGGGGGAACACATCCCAATATTCAAATGTGCTCAAAATGTCCCCCCCCCCATATACTTTATTAATCCCGATTCTCTGCCATTACATACAATGAAACAATACAATGCATTATTAGACATTCTAAAAAATAAATAAAAAGTCCATCCTATGTGTTAGTGACTTTTTTATATTTTAGGCAGGAAATTTGTTTTCAAATTTAGATTTTTTTCTGGGGGGGGGGCAGACCTGGAAAATGTGGTCCCCCCCCCCAATTTTGACTCCATGGCTACGGCCTTGGTGTATGGAAGTAAGGCAGTAGTTATAGTAGTCGTGGCAGTAAGGCAGTAGTTGTGGCAGTAAGGCAGTAGTTATGGTAGTCGTGGCAGCAAGGCAGTAGTTACAGTGAGTGAAAAAAGTATTTGATCTCCTACTGATTTTGTAGGGGATCAAGGATGTCAGGGACAAGATTGTAGACCTACACAAGGCTGGAATGGGCTACAAGACCATTGCCAAGCAGCTTGGTGAGAAGGTGACAACAGTTGGTGCAATTATTCGCAAATGGAAGAAATACAAAAGAACTGTCAATCTCCCTCGGCCTGGGGCTCCATGCAAGATCTCACCTCGTGGAGTTTCAATGATCATGAGAACGGTGAGGAATCAGCCCAGAACTACACGGAAGGATCTTGTCAATGATCTCAAGGCAGCTGGGACCAGTCACCAAGAAAACAATTGGTAACACACTACGCTGTGAAGGACTGAAATCCTGCAGCGCCCGCAAGGTCCCTCTGCTCAAGAAAGCACATATAGATGCCCGTCTGAAGTTTGCCAATGCACATCTGAATGATTCAGAGGACAACTGGGTGAAAGTGTTGTGGTCAGATGAGACCAAAATTGAGCTCTTTGGCATCAACTCAACTCGCCGTGTTTGGAGAAGGAGGAGGAATGCTGCCTATGACCCCAAGAGCACCATCCCCACCGTCAAACATGGAGGTGGAAACATTATGCTTTGGGGGTGTTTTTCTGCTAAGGGGACAGGACAACTTCACCGCATCAAAGGGACCATGGACGGGGCCATGTACCGTCAAATCTTGGGTGAGAACCTCCTTCCCTCGGCCAGGGCATTGGAAATGGGTCGTGGATGGGTATTCCAGCATGACAATGACCCAAAACGCACGGCCAAGGCAACAAAGGAGTGGCTCAAGAAGAAGCACATTAAGGTCCTGGAGTGGCCTAGCCAGTCTCCAAACCTTAAGCCCATAGAAAATCTGTGGAGGGAGCTGAAGGTTCGAGTTGCCAAACGTCAGCCTCGAAACCTTAATGACTTGGAGAAGATCTGCAAAGAGGAGTGAGACAAAATCCCTCCTGAGATGTGTGCAAACCTGGTGGCCAACTACAATAAACGTCTGACCTCTGTGATTGCCAACAAGGGTTTTGCCACCAAGTACTAAGTCATGTTTTGCAGAGGGGTCAAATACTTATTTCCCTCATTAACATGCAAATCAATTTATAAAATTTTTGACATGCGTTTTTCTGGCTTTTTGTTGTTATTATGTTTCTCACCGTTCAAATAAACCTACCATTAAAATTAAAGACTGATAATTTCTTTGTCAGTGGGCAAACGTACAACATCAGCAGGCGATCAAATACTTTTTTCCCTCACTGCATGGGTGTCGTGGCAGTAAGGCAGTAGTTATGGTAGTCATGGCAGTAAGGCAGTAGTTATGGTAGTCGTGGCAGTAAGGCAGTAGTTATGGTAGTCGTGGTAGTAAGGCAGTAGTTATGGTAGTCGTGGTAGTAAGGCAGTAGTTATGGTAGTCGTGGCAGTAAGGCAGTAGTTATGGTAGTCGTGGCAGTAAGGCAGTCATCGTGACAGTATGGCAGTAGTTATGGTAGTCGTGGCAGTAAGGCAGTAGTTTTGGTAGTCGTGGTAGTAAGGCAGTAGTTATGGGTATCGTGGTAGTAAGGCAGTAGTTATGGTAGTCTTGGTAGTAAGGCAGTAGTTATGGGTGTTGTGATAGTAAGGCAGTAGTTATGGTAGTCGTGGCAGTAAGGCAGTAGTTATGATAGTCGTGGCAGTAAGGCAGTAGTTATGGTAGTCGTGGTAGTAAGGCAGTAGTTATGGGTGTCGTGGTAGTAAGGCAGTAGTTATGGTAGTCGTGGTAGTAAGGCAGTAGTTATGGTAGTCGTGGTAGTAAGACAGTAGTTATGGTAGTCGTGGCAGTAAGGCAGTAGTCGTGGTAGTAAGGCAGTAGTCGTGGCAGTAAGGCAATAGTTATGGTAGTCGTGGCAGCAAGGCAGTAGTTATGGTAGTCGTGGTAGTAAGGCAGTAGTTATGGTAGTCGTGGTAGTAAGGCAGTAGTCGTAGCAGTAAGGCAGTAGTTATGGTAGTCGTGGAAGTAAGGCAGTAGTTATGGTAGTCGTGGTAGTAAGGCAGTAGTCGTGGTAGTAAGGCAGTAGTCGTGGTAGTAAGGCAGTAGTTATGGGTGTCGTGGTAGTAAGGCAGTAGTTATGGTAGTCGTGGTAGTAAGGCAGTAGTTATGGTAGTCGTGGTAGTAAGGCAGTAGTTATGGTAGTCGTGGCAGTAAGGCAGTAGTCGTGGTAGTAAGGCAGTAGTCGTGGCAGTAAGGCAATAGTTATGGTAGTCGTGGCAGCAAGGCAGTAGTTATGGTAGTCGTGGCAGTAAGGCAGTAGTTATGGTAGTCGTGGTAGTAAGGCAGTAGTCGCGGCAGTAAGGCAGTAGTTATGGTAGTCGTGGAAGTAAGGCAGTAGTTATGGTAGTCGTGGTAGTAAGGCAGTAGTCGTGGTAGTAAGGCAGTAGTCGTGGCAGTAAGGCAATAGTTATGGTAGTCGTGGCAGCAAGGCAGTAGTTATGGTAGTCGTGGTAGTAAGGCAGTAGTTATGGTAGTCGTGGTAGTAAGGCAGTAGTCGCGGCAGTAAGGCAGTAGTTATGGTAGTCGTGGAAGTAAGGCAGTAGTTATGGTAGTCGTGGTAGTAAGGCAGTAGTCGTGGTAGTAAGGCAGTAGTTATGGTAGTCGTGGTAGTAAGGCAGTAGTTGTGGTAGTCGTGGCAGTAATGCAGTAGTTATGGTAGTTGTGGTAGTAAGGATGGTAGTCGTGGCAGTAAGGCAGTAGTTATGGTAGTCGTGGTAGTAAGGCAGTAGTGGTAGTAAGGCAGTAGTCGTGGTAGTAAGGCAGTAGTTGTGGTAGTCGTGGTAGTAAGGCAGTAGTTGTAGTAAGGCAGTAGTTGTGGTAGTAAGGCAGTAGGCGTGGTAGTAAGGCAGTAGTTATGGTAGTCGTGGCAGTAAGGCAGTAGTTATGGTAGTCGTGGTAGTAAGGCAGTAGTCGTGGTAGTAAGGCAGTAGTTATGGTAGTAAGGCAGTAGTTATGGTAGTAAGGCAGTAGTAGTTATTTCCGTGTCTGCAGCAGCAGCAGTGTGAACTGGTCTGAACCCTTCGCCATGACGCGGACTGGCGCACAGAGACCTTGGGACGTCCTCACACTTCAGCGTTTAGTTTAGGATGTACAATCACCACCAAATATCTCCGTGTGAGTCTATGGGTCTCTGTGTGAGTGTCTATGGGTCTCTGTGTGAGTGTCTATGGGTCTCTGTGTGAGTGTCTATGGGTCTCTGTGTGAGTCTATGGGTCTCTGTGTGAGTCTATGGGTCTCTGTGTGAGTGTCTATGGGTCTCTGTGTGAGTCTATGGGTCTCCGTGTGAGTGTCTATGGGTCTGTGTGTGAGTCCATGGATCTCTGTGTGAGTCTATGGGTCTCTGTGTGAGTCTATGGGTCTCTGTGTGAGTCTATGGGTCTCTGTGTGAGTCCATGGGTCTCTGTGTGAGTCTATGGGTCTGGTCCTGGGCCATTGGTGTTGGTCGTGAGCGGGAATCGAACTCGGGCCGTCGGGGTCCGTAAGCACAGCAGCGCGCTAACCACTGCACCACCGCTCCCTCCACTCAATCAAAGACAAAGATCCCCCGTATAGCCTTCACAGACTGCTGGGGCAAGTGCTGTTAGCGAGCACCTATGAAGGCCGGCACGGCACACGAGGGGGTGGGTGGCCAGCACCACGCCCGGCCGCCTTTGTCTCCCCCAGTGGCGATGTTTACTACACACCGCACCAGACGGGGTACTCGTTTGAGGCTGAGTGTACCTAGGGGGAGGCCAGATAACCGTCACCGATGTTGGTCGCCGTGAGCAGGAATCGAACTCGCGCCGCCAGGGGAGGTTCGTGACGCTAGCAGCGGCGCTAACCGCTGCGCCACCGCTCCCGCCCCCCACGCAATCACCGTCACCACTTTGAGGAAGGGTGGGGGGGGGGGTGAAACGTCGGTGGGTGGCGCCCGATCCATTAAAGCCCCGCGCAGACTGCACGTACATCGGCACAAGTGCGTTGAAACGCAGCGAGTATAGCAACAACAGCAGCAGCAACGTCTTTACATTAACACAAATTGTGTCGATATATATTTATATCCGTATATATTTGTTTAACAACAACAACAAAAATATAAAATAATTATAAAATAATTCACGGCACACACAGGCGTTTAAAATGGCGGCAGACAAAATCCTCGCTTTGGCCAAGTTTTGGAGGAACATTCGTCCCAACATTCCTGCCAAGAAGGTAATAAACAACAACAACAGCAGCAGCAACAACAACCCGTGTTTGTTGTTGTTGTTGTGATGTTATGGTCGTCTTGCAAAGCGCGGTATGAGATAAATGTCACTGCGCCTGTGTATCGATTAACATGGTTGGTTGGGGTGGTGGCGGCGGCGAGCGGTGGTGCAATGGTTAGCGCGTTCGGTTCCACACAACGATCCTGGGCCCTCTTCACGTTGCACCGCTGGTACCTTGCAGAGCTTTGGTGGCGGCACGCTGTTCGTGCGTGTGTGTGATGGTATGATGGTATGGGTGATGTACGCGTTTATAATGGCCCAGTTGGCAGTAGCTGTAAATAGTTGAATTAAAACCTTTGTCGGTGCATCATCGCAATTTAGATCGGCTGAACTTAAAAGGCTTCAAGTGAACGCGGTTAATGAACTGGGGGAGACAAAGGCGGTCAGTTTTGTCTCTCTTTTACATCATTGATTGGCCTAGCATCCTGTACTGTTGGCTATACTGTGTACTGTATATTGCAACTTAAACGTACGGCTATTTAAATGCAGTTAATTGGCTATTCATGTTGGGTCATGTTGCATATTCATACCAGAAATGTTCCCGACGTGGCATTTCCCTGCTGTATTTTGTTATAATTGCTAAAAAAAATTCCCCCTGGCTTGAGTTAGATGTAAGGCTGTTGGAATTGTCTTGAGTATTATAATCATGATTTGTAGAATACAGTACGTTGATAATGGGATTATACAGTACAGGTTAGTTGAAAGTTGCACAGCCGCATGCTTAACTAGTGAGATAAGAGAATGTGAAGGTCAAACTGACATCATCATCATCACTATCATCACATTCATCATTACAGTACTTCCTCCACCCCTAAACAACACCATCATCATCATCAGTGAGGTGGCACCCACATGATGATAGCTGTACATAAAAGTCATTCGTTGTAATTGTACAAGTGTGGATGTACGTGCTCCCGTCACGCTAATGTGGAACTTCTACTGCTGGTTCAGGAAATCACATTGTGTCGAGTCCGCACATCGCCCAACATGTATAAGCAGGACAATCGCATTGCATGAGAGAGTAATCTACTCTTAACTACTGTGACTAACCGAAATGGGATCTTTATTTCCCATCTTGTTGGTTAACTTCTTACACGTGATGTACATTTGGTGTGATTCGTTTTAGACATTCCATCGGTGGGTGTAATTTGTCTCGGGTGGCTGGATCAACCACGCATTTATACGTACGCGATATAACCCCCTTGTATTATGGATGATATTGGTCACGAAAGCCGGCTACGTGTTCAACTTGTGAATGTTTTCCAGCGGAACGAGTTCTCAGGTAAGCCTCCGTCACACTCGTGGCGTCCGTGTTGGCATCACACTAGATAATTAATCTTCGAAAGTCATTCTGTGTAAACGTAACACACAAAATCAGCCTCCCCCACCCCACACTTACAATTTGAGATGATTGTAAGAGATTATGTACGTGGGGAATTATTTTCCTGGAAATTATTTTGACCATTTATAATAATGGGGGCTGGAAGCGATTTGACCTTGGGTTGATGCCAGACATTGGCTGGAATGGGAGTTGAATAACGTGTCCAGGAGGCCCTTCAGGCACGAGTGTACACAACCACATAGCTGATAAGCAAATGAAAGTCCACTATCGTCAAGTGTACGGGTCGGAAATTTTTTAATTTTATTGATTTTCAACGGTCAGACATTGCTAAAAAAAATTCTACACAACGCAAAGTGTTTGCGGTAAGTTTGCAAGAGAGTATAGGATTAAGTTTAAAGTACAGCTTACGTTGGTATCCAACCTAAATCATGAGCTGGTTAGCACCTCTGGCATGCAGTGAAATCACGTCGAGAGAGATATGTGACATTTTCTCGGCAGAGTTGAACCCAGATTAACTCTCACCCCCAGCAATCCCGTGGTCTTGTCTGTGAGACAAACACAATGTACAATTCACTCATGCACATCTGTTGGCACTTTGATTACAAAATGAAGCCGCAAATCCCTGCAACCGATACTGATGGATCCGTGGCGTTAATGAGCCAGTCTCTCAGCAGTACATTGGCAAAAGTGGCATGACAATTAGAGGAAATGTTGACCCCAATTCTACACTACTGGCACGGAACAATGGACACTCATCATTCGTTTAAAGTGAATGAATACATTACCGTGTATCGCTCTCAAAGCATTGTAGGGGGGGTGGTGGGACAGTGGTTAGCGCACTGTGTTAAGAACCTTGCCGCCCGAGTTCAATTCAGGCCACGTCTAACAGCAGTTGTGGATATCTGAACCCGTCTGCTCCCCCCCCCACCTCATCAACCCGCATGGATCAGCGTTGTGATGAAGTATGGTCAAGGAGGCTTGGGAAGGCCTTCGTGAAAATAGTGTTGTTATATGTCTTCACGAATCCTATTTCATGGTTGGTTTTTACAGTCTGTGTGCATGGAACCGAAAGTATAAAAAGTAACTTTTTTCAATAAAAAGTCAAATTCCGCCAAATAGTTTATCACTGTGAAAACCCGAACTGTTTAAAAGTTTCGGTCGTTCTTGAATCTCAAAAGTGGGTAAAGCTAAAGAAGAGGTGTGAGGCCTGAGGTGCCACGGTCCACCGTGGGTGGAAAGTGTAGGGATATCAAATGGTAGAATTTGGTGAACTTTCCCTACCAGTGGTCATGCCCACTGCCAATAGTTGTCCTGCATGCCAGCCACACCTCATTTCCCTCTGGCAACATTTTTCACCACCCACTCAGCATTGCCGCTTGCGAATTGAGCTCCCGTTAAATTTGTCCTGCCCCGTCCACCGCAATTCTCTTGAGACCGGAATCTGTCGCGAGTAAATGGTTAACTCGGCCGTTAAAAGATTCTCCCGAATGTTTAACTTAAAGATTTGAGCGTTCGTGGGGGCTTTTAAGGGAGGCTCGCCAACGTGTCTCTTTAGGTTGTGCCCCACCGGCTTGGTATTGCGTGCATCCGACGTTACACTCCACGTGTTCGGTAGCATTTTCAGGAACTGACCACTTCTACGTGCTGGGAATGCAACGTCGGACATCAAGCCATGAGCAACGGGCGTTTCGATCTGAGCAACAACAAAAACATGCATCGCAGAGCTTTACAGCACAACCGCTAAAATCTACGCGGTAGACTTGCTTATTTTGCTTCTTTTTCCACTGCGCAACGCGAACTGCTTCTGGGCTGTGCCGGCTCAGGAGGTACCAGATTGTTTTACAAGTGACTGGTGTCGCTTGTAATAAACATGTCGAGTCGCACGTAGATGGCGCGGTGATGCTGTGCCCACGGAGTGTACCGACTAACGTTACACGCAATATTAAACGAGTCGTTAGCTCCGCCCCCTGGCCCTGCTTGGCTTCGAGCCAGATCCAGACAGCTCCTCATGAGGACAGCGACATCACGGATTGGTTCTGACTTGGAAAGACAAGTAGTCGGTGGAAAAACCATCATGCCGGGGAGGCTTCTCGCTGGTTTGGTTTGGGTGGGCCAGGGGAAAAGGGGTATAAGAGTGGCTGGGATATGGAATGCCAATCGCACCATGTGTAGTGATGATAAAGGGCTTGCAGGGTGATTGAGGAATTGATCTCCACAGGGCAGCAATATCTCCTTTTGCAAAGAGCGTGGTACACCTTTTAGTCTAGATAGCAGAGACCAGGTGATGTTTTACAGCTGCTAAGTGCCGGGTCCTTCACCTCTGGTCCCATAGGGACATATAAATGTTCGACTGCCAGTCAGGTGTGAGTACATTGCGTACCGTGTGGGCGAGTCTAAAACCGTTGTGGTTATTGCTCCAAGGGCACAATTTGGCTGTGTCACGCAATGAGTTGGACATGAGCTTATCCCATACGTGCACAGACAACGGGAGTAATTTGTGCATTTTAACACTGATAATACGATTGTGTGTCTAGCCCATCGCCCCGGATAAGAGGAGTCTCGCTTCACTGTAATGTGTTTTCTGGTCGTACCATGTGTTGTTTGACAATATGTCCCGACGTTTCGCTACATGTGCTGGGCTCCTTCTGGAACTGAAACGTCGGGCATCATGCAGAACACAACTGCTTAAATTCCCTTTCTGTGCCCCCCCCCCAACCAAGCAAAAGGGCAGTGCAGAAATCTAAATGTTTGTACTTCTGTTGCTCCCAGCTTTGACCAACCCACAACCCGACCAAACATGGCGAAGTATGTGGTCAAATAGACCCCCCCCCGCACTGCCCTCGCGGTGTGGGAAGGGAGCGGCGGGGCCCTCATGCAGCAGCGAGGATTGACAAAAAGAGCCGTGCATGTGCTGCTCCACCACCAGTTTCAAGATCAAAGTTGGGTCATTCGGGTTAAAAATGGTTTCTGGACGTCCACAAGCCGTGACATCTGGCACCTTCACCCCCTCCACCGCCCGCCTCTTCCCCATTCGAGCAAGAAAATGCCTGCTTACGTTTTGCCACTGCCGGCTGCCATCATCGCTGGAGACGTGCAGCTATTTATAGCCAAGGACCGTGAATGGGGCCAGGCGAGCAATGGGGGCGGCCCTCTCAATACTGTACGGGTTCCCTTCTGGCTCGCCGTCCTAACCTTGGTGGAGCGTTCCCGACGGCTGCGTCGGGCACGCGCGCCCTGCCGCAGCAAGTCAAACGTGTGAACACATGGGCCTACATATTCTTGGTTCTTTCGGTAAAGTCACGTAGAAGGGAAACAATAAAGTAATAAGAATAAAACAGTAAAATTCTCACGACGTTTCGATCACAACACGAGCGAAAACCACAGCAAGAAAATGTATCGTTTTATAGTTTTATTATGTTATTATTTCCCTTCTACGTGGTGACTTTAGAATATGAATCCCTGCAGTCACGAAAGCTTGAAATCGAAAAATGGGCCTACACTTTAAATGTGTATCGTGAATCCGCTGCTGGATGAGGCTCTTTTCTCCCCGTGCCATTGCGAGTCGTGGCGATAGTTTACCCGTACCTGGGTGCGTTGCTCAGTTGCGGCTTGCGGAATGCAGGGGAGCATAGAAGTACAGTGCAGCATTTTGTTTTTGTATGCGCTGCCCTCTGCCGCCTGCTGTGTGGCCTCATTGCCTCACAATGAGAAGGCGTATATGTACGTTTTAGATCTCGAGGACGTCGCATGTTGTACGTATGGTAGTTGAATGAAAAAAAAGTGACGTGTCTGTATGGGGGGCGGGGTGGTGCACTTTGAGGCACCAAAATGCACCCCCTATATACACAGTGACCCCGGGTTAAGTCAGTTTTCTCTGCCACGATGCACACCATCGCTGGCGTGTGATCTCCGAACGTGTCCCGGGCCCCCCCCTACCTAGGCAGACTCTCAGCCTTAATAGGTATGCAGCGCCTGAGCATCATCGCCGAGGCAGACGGAGGCGGTCGGATGTGCACAGGACTTGCCATCACCTCAACACTGCCCGTGTCATGATGACCTTGATAGTTGCTGTGATAACAGTACTTGTCTGTGCAGTTTGTAGAAGTGTTTCTCAACTCCAGTCCTCACGATGCACCACGGTACAATTTTCTATTACAGTTTTATTAACCGTCAGGTGCTTGCAGTGTGCATTGACCTAATTTGCATTTAAATAGAACGCGTTTGTAATGAACAGTGGGACTGTGGGGAGTTGCCTGGACTGGATTTACTCTGTACGACTAATCCTGTGTTTTTGCACTTTCCAGTCAAGGTTGAAAGCGTTCATGCATTTTAGACATGTCCGTCTTTCTGTCGCATGGGGGTCACGATGTCTCTGGTAAACATGATTCCAATGTGGATTAAACTCCGTGATGAAGCCGTGTTGCTTCTAGGCGACTTTATAGAAGACCGGCCACATTGATCGCGGGGTAAACGCACGCCCTTCCAGGCAGAACCGCCATCCGAGCCCCGTTGTCTCATCAGGGCCTGCGACCACGTGCTTCTTGTATGTACGTTGAACTTATTTCGCACTGTACGTGGCCAACCGTGCTAATCAGAGGTACGGGTGCGTGCGGGGGCAACAAACTAAACACAAAAAAAACAGTTCTAAAGGAATGAGTGTGCAAACACAAGGTTTTTTTTAAGTTCTCAAGAAATGTGTTTGCAAACTCACCTTGTGTTTGCAAACCAAATGTGTTTGCAAACTCACCTTGTGTTTGCAAACCAAAGGTGTTTCCACACCCTGTGTTTACACACCTTGTGTGAAGGCCTCCCTTTTTATTGATAATTAAATACGACCGAGGACAAGTTTTTCAGTTTCAGTTTTCATTTATTTGGTATAGCCCTGTGAGCCATTCGGCTCGTAAATCGGGTGCAACCACAACAAACAAAAAACATGAACAAGAAAACATCTTAAAGTGACTACGCGCAAGCAGAAAAATCCAGGAAAAAAACAGCAAAGTCTTCCAGAAAAAGCACCGTACACCAACGCTGTGTGCAAAAATCCCAGTGGGATGCAAGTTAAACAACAACAACAACCACAAGACAACTTGGATTAAAGCCATCAGTCTAACTCCGTACTACTACAACAAACAAACATGGCCAAACCAAAGTGAATTTTTGGAAGCGTTACAGAATTCCACGAGTGCATATATATGGATATATATTTCTTACGTGTCCGTGCGTGTGCGATACAGATCCGGGACAAGGCTGTGCTGGTGACGGGATGCGACTCCGGCTTTGGACTGTCACTCGCGCAGCACCTGCACTCGAAGGGCTTCAAAATCTTCGCCGGATGCCTCCTGAAGGTGCAAGTCACAGTGACGTTGCAGTGGGTTTTTTTTCGTGGTTGTTTTGAGCCCAGCCAGCCCAGAGTTGTACAAGGCAATGCAGTTTACCCGCTCCTCGGTTTCCTTTCTTACGAGATGAATACGCCTTTCCAAACTGGTTTTGTATCCTTTGGAATGAATTGAAAGCATGCCATCAGATAACTGTAGCTTTTTTGGGGGGGGATTTGTTAGTTACGCCAACGTTGACTTTCATGACTATGTACATGTACAGCCCTTTTTTAATATATATTTGGATATGTTATTGATTCACTCCACCCCCCCACCCCACCATAATGAGATGAATTGTCACGTTTCAGGGTCGTGGTGCTGTTCTGAAATTCTATGCTGCCGAGATGGCGAGATGTTAACTACCTCGCCTGGTATACAGGAAGTGGTGGTTTCAATCCTGACCCTGACGCCTGTATATTTGGAGTTTGCGTGTTTTCCCCGTGGTCGTGTGGATTTTTTTCCAGGCCCTTCGGATTTGCGTTTAGAGTATTTGGCTGTTATAAATTTCCACACGATAAGCTACTATCATTTGTGGCCAGGTTACTTCTGAAAAGATCTGTATAGGTCAGCGGCCCTGGTAAATAAAAAATGTTTAGTTTAGGATTCATTAATGTGAAGTATACACCACCTCCAGTGGCTGCAAGGGTCACGGGAACCCACTCCACACAGCACATATGAATCCATAAATAATAATAATAAATTTCTATACTTTAATTGGCGAATTGTTGCATTGTCCCGATCCCGTTTTAAACCGTTACTGTTCTCCACCAGGACAAGGGAGGCGACGGCGCCAAGCAGCTGGAGGCGATGAAGTCAGAGAGGCTGAAGGTCGTGCAGATGAACGTGGCGAGTGACGACGAGGTCGCGAAGGCCGTCGAATTCATCAGGAGCAGCCTACCCGACCCTGAAGACGGTGAGAGGGGCACGGAGAGTTTTATTTATTTTACCAGTTAAGGCCCGCTGAGCTATGCAGCTCTTTTTTTCAAGAAGCGACCCTGACCATCGCAATTGACAGCTCAACGAAGTGGCCCATCACGTGGGCATTTATGGCAGCCGAATTACTCTCAAAACGCGTGACGTTGATTCTCAATGTGGAGGGAAGAGCCGGGGAGCCCGGAAAAAAATCCACGCGATCACGGGGAGAGCGTGCAAACTCCAAATATACTGGCGTCAGGGTCCGGATCGAACTCACGACCTCCTGTATATCAGGCGAGGGAGTGAACATCTCGCCACCGTGGCGGGTCGCCGATGGGCCGCGCGGGCCGGCGAACCGGCTTGCAAGTCGCCACGTCGTTACGTGTCCGCGCTACTTATTCCACGTGCACCACGAGGGCGGGAAAAAAAATTCACTGATAAAGGGTGTCGCATCAAATTTTTACAATTAACTGTCCCCCCCCAAATCGTGATCATTTGAACTGGCGCAAGCCCAAGCCTCGTGCTGAGTTTTCAACCAGTTGGCTTATGTTTTAGGCTTAAGTTTAGCTGGTTCTGTGTAGGTCAGCGACCCCTAAAATATTTCTGCACGTGGAACAACACATCCACTATACCTGGTCGCATGCCACCCCAAAACTCCAGTCTATCCGCACACTGGTACATTTGACTGTATGTGTGCATGTTGAACTTCTTTCGCACTGTACATAGCCAGCCTTGTTTAATCGGAGGTGCGGGGGAAGGACAACAAACGAAACACAAAACGCAGTTCTAAAGAAATGCATTTTCAATCCAGATTTTAAAGTGCATAGCTCCAGTGGATTCCTAGTACGGGAAGGAAGAGCATTCCAGATGGCCGCAGAAGCGCATCTGAAATGGCTTGGCCAAAAGCCGCTGCTGTGAGTATGAACTCTGCGGCCAAGTCAACTGACTGACTGTGGCCAAGTCAAATGACTGACTGTGGCCAAGTCAACTGACTGACGCCAAGTCACAAGTCAACTGGCAACAACAAGTCTCACCCCCCCCCCCCCCCGCCTGCCCCCGTCTCGTTTGCCGCCTAGGCCTGTGGGGCGTGGTGAACAACGCGGGGATCTCGACGTTTGGAGAGATCGAGTGGACTCCCATGGATACCTACAAGAACGTGGCGGAGGTGAACCTGTGGGGCATCGTGCGCACCACCAAGGCGTGCCTGCCGCTCATCCGGCGAGCTCGCGGTAATTCTCCCATGTTCCGGCGCCACAGTTTTATTTGGTCGCTCCTAAAACCGGAAAGTGTTTATTTATTTTTTTACTTGTGCACACGGTATTCCTTCGTTATTCACGGACTCGCTGTCCGCGATATTGGCTGTCCGTGAACCACATCCGCAACTCTACACGACTGCATCGAGAGAGATAAAGCGATGAGATAAAGCGATGAGACAGAGCGATGTGTTATTAGGATAATTCCCACGTATTTAATTGCTTAATTACGTATTTATGGTCATTCATTCAAAAGAGTCGTAAAAAAAAGGTTTTTCTTAGGCCAATATCTTTATCCGTAAAATTTGCTATTCCCAAGCATCTCTGGAACGTATCCCTCGCGAATAATGAGGGAATACTGTACTTCCAGTACTTTTGTACGGTACACAAGCGTGTGTGTGTGTGGTCATTGACGAGCAAAAAACATTATGAACATACTAAAGCTACACGCACGTCACTAGGTGGCTTGGGGGGTCAGAGCGTTGAGTTGACGCTGCTGAAATCCTGGGTTCGGATCCAGGAAGCCACCTCTGATGACAAGGATGTCAAAGAGCCCAAGTTACTCGGGGGGTCAGAGCACTGAGCTAATACCACTGAGATCCTGGGTTCGGACACAGGAAGCGGCCTCTGACTATTAAGTGTGTCAAAGAGCAGTCCCCAGTAATCCCACACCTGGTCGGCATGGAAGAGTAGGCCAAAATGTTGTCCTTTCCCCGCATCTCCGATTGCCACGGTTGGCATAAGTACGGTGCGAAAGACGTTCAACATACAGACAAAATACCCTTCATAGGGGGCTCTCCCTCTGGCGGAGACTCTTCCCCCAGCAGCGGCGCGAAGCAAGCCACACCCCGGCTAACGCCCGTCGCTTTGGGTCGCGCGCAGGGCGGGTGGTGAACATCTCGAGCATGATGGGCCGCATGGGCAACACGGCGCGCTCCCCGTACTGCATCACCAAGTTCGGCATCGAGGCGTTCTCCGACTGCCTGCGCTACGAGATGATGCGCTGGGGCGTCAAGGTGTCCGTCGTCGAGCCGGGCAACTTCATCGCGGCGACGGCGCTGTACGGCGAGGACCGCGTCAAGGAGATCGCCGACGGCATGTGGGCCAAGATGTCGCCGCAAGTGCAGAGCGATTACACGCGCGAGTACTTCGACCGGCAGGTGAGTCGCGACGACGTTCGATCGCCGCCGCCGCCGCGCTTGTGCTCGTCGTGTTGCCATCTCTGCGGGCGAGGTGCAACCGGAATTAAAGCCCGCCCACCCCCTGCTCAAGTTGCAGGGGGTGGGCGGGCTTTTCCCGTTCACCGCCGAATCTCGGAACGCGCAAGCGGCTCGGCGTTAATTTTATTTGGAGAGGCGCAGCGCCGCTGTTTATAAAAAGAAACGCTGTGTTCGGTACGTCATCGGAACAGAACCTGAAGGAAGAACTAAAATAAAGTAACTTTATCGGTACCGAGGCTCCCACAGGGCCATGCGGGTGGTCGTGTCGCTACGATTCTCTACGGTGAGTACAACGTCTTTGGAAAAAAAAACGGCGTTACGTCATCGGAATGGGTTAAGTCCTTTATTATTGCCAACTTCGTCGTCACTGCGCGGTTTTCGCTGTTGCGCTGTATGTTGAACTTATTTTGCGCCGTACGTAGCCAACTGTGCTAATCAGAGGTGCGGGGAAAGGACAACAAACTAAACACAAAAAGCAGTTCTAAAGAAATGGATTTTCAGTCTAGATGATTGAAAAGTGCACAGCTCCAGTGGCTTCCAAATATCGGAAGGGCGTTCCAGACGTCCGCAGAAGTGCATCTGAAAGCGCGCGATGCGGTGACCATCTTTGTTAGTCGGCTCGCCAAAAGCCGCCGCTGCGGCTGTGCGAGGATGAGCGGAGCTCGCGTGTTACTTGACGAGATGGGCAAGGTATTGCGGTTCATTTGTGGCAAACACTGTGTGTGTAATGAGTGTTTGCTGTAACGTTTTTACCCGCCCCTACTGGACATCTGTGAAAAAGAGATTCTGAGCTCATAAGATAGCCTCGAGTATAAATATATATTCTGATTCTGACAATGTATTCGTTCGGCAACCCGGAAGCCAATGCAGCTCGGCAAGCACTGGACAGACACGGTCGCATCTTGCAAGTACCCTATCACTACACGTGCCGGAGATATTTGTACACGCCGCAGCTCGTTTATTATTTTTGCCAGACATCCCGTAGAGCAGGGAGTCGCAATAATCGAGCCTTGTCGATGCTTGCGCTCAGATGTCACCGTTGTTGGCAATGTCGTCGTGTCGGCTATGTCACTGTGTTGGCTATGTCGCCACCGCCGCAGGTCACCATCATGCTGTCGTACACCGGCGGCGGATCGACGGACGTCTCTCCCGTGATCGAGGACATCCAGGATGCGCTCACGTCCTACTTCCCGCTCACGCGCTACACCCCGATGGACGCCTACTGGTGGACCCGCGTGCAGGCCATCACACACCTGCCCGCCGGCATCTCCGACCGAATTTACTTCTCGAAGAAGTAGCTTCCTCTCTGACCCTGCCGTTCGCTTGGGGTTCCCACTCGGCCCAAGAGGGGCGTCCTCCGGCTGAACGACAGGACGTGCTGGGATAGCGGGAGTGTATTTTAAAAGTTTGTCTTTCCCCCCCCCAAGTTCCGTCCTGATTGTGTGATATCGGTTTCCCAAGATGAAACTGAACAAAGGTGCACTCTGCCTGAGGTTGTCATTTTTATGCCACAGAAGCCTGTTACGAAAAAATATATATATACTCATATCTGCCCACTTTTAGAAACATACCTGGACAGTACCTGGTACATTAACTCATTAAAAAGTCTCCAGCACTTGTTACATATTACACGTGTATTTATAACTTCAAAATGTATGGCCTCATGTTAGCGTTCTGCCTGTAGACTACGGTATCATATGATCTGCAGAATACCCGTAGGCTGCGGGATCTTGTGATCTGTAGAAGCCCCGTAGGCCGCGGGATCGTAGGATCTGCAGAACAGTACCACCCATTGGCCTCCAACCAGTCTCGCACCGCCACTCGGCACCCTCATGTCGTTCACAGCCATGGCGATGACTATAGCTTTGTGTGTGTTTTTCCCAACTTCTCCTGCTGTGGTGTCACTGTAACCCTTATAACAGTGTTTACATACCATATGTCGAGATAATACCTGCATTTTGTATGGTGTAGTCCATGTTAATTGCATCCCATAACGCTGTACATTCATTATATATAAGGACCAAGTCCTAAATACAGCCACTACCAAGCAAATGAAAACCCTACTACTTAGCAAAATAAAAATTAAAGAAATGGCACCAAAGCCAAAGGCACGAACCAATTGTACGTATGTGCTCTCGTCCGCCTTCAAAGGTCTTCCCCCGTTGTAGGAGTTTTCTGCATCCGTCCTTTCTGAATGTCTTTGAGGTCATGACCTGATAAGAGGAACAGCCCCCGTTAAGATATGGGGGAGGGGGGAATGTTGCGTAGTGTAAATAACCTGGGCGTTGGATCTACTGCACGGCTATTCGCGTTTGTGCTTTACAGCCCTCGCAGCCGGTTCGCTTCCCAGAGACTTTCTCCCGGCGTGCGGAGCGACGCGTTGGGGACGTCATGCCGAACGGCAAACACGGCACAACCCGGAAAAAAAATCGGGAGTTGTGACTGCCCGCAAGTATTTGGTGTTTTGTAAAAAGGCGTTTGCAGTCGTGCCGGGTCTTGGTGTTCGCCACTTCCGATGTATGCGCCGGTCGTGCATGCGCAAGCAAACGGCCGTGGATATTAAATTTAAAAAAGGGATCGCGGTTTTAAATGTGAAGCTCGCGAAGAAGCCATCTTTTCCGGGTTGCAACGTTACCGTTTGTTATTTTGCCCCACTCCGCGCTGGCGAAGCTTTCTCGCGGTGTTACACTCAAAAGCGGAGGATGACAAGGTAATAGAAGCCCTCCCCACGCCTCCCCCCCCCGTGAAACGTATCAACATCTCATGCCGTGCAAAATTAGCACTTGAGAATAGTCGAGGAAGCTCGGCTAAATTCGAAGGTCGGATAACGTTTGGACCACATGATTGTCGGCAACCCACTTCATTGAATTGCCATGAAACTGCGAAATGTTTCGTTGACAATGGCGAGTGTTCTCATCTTTGTGAAAACGTCCCCGTTTGGTTATTTCCCCGCTTCCATGCACAATTATACTATGAAGAAGTATTGCTCCGTGGTGAGGCTCGTAACTTCTCTGCCGTACGGCAGAAGAGCGTGCAAATTATTTGAGTGCCGTCGCACAATCCCAGCCGGGTGCGCCAGACTATTCCGAATTAAGCCACTAACGTGTGAAACACTGGCCAGATGGCTGTTGAAGCAAAATGAAGGTTTTAATGTTTATAAGGATCCGTTAAAGGGCCAAAATGTGGATTAAGGGACCCTTCGTTTTTTATTGAGAACCTTGTGTTATCGATGCCGTGAGCATGTGTTCAGCAATGAACAGTTACCTACTGCTTGACTTGAAATGTTAAACCCCCTGCAAATCTTTACCTGTTTAATATGCTCACTTGAAGAATAATTTCAACGTCAAGACACTAAAGATAGAAAAAAAAAACTGGAATTCTCCGCTGTATGCACATTTTTATTTCGAACTTGTTTTCACATGTCTCGCTGAAATCCCCCCCCCCCCCCACTTCTTTACGAATTGGTTTAATATTATATTCCATTGCACGCTTTTTTTTCTTTCGCTGTTACGTTGTACGTCTGAGAGCAGGGAGCGTGAAGTTACATTCAGATTTTTGGGCCGAATGAACCCCTTAACGATGCGGCAGCTTCGTCCGTCATCGTTGCATCACCGCGTCCCGCCTTGCAACCTGTAAATGCTGCAGCCCGAAGCGACTAAAGCGCAAACGCGTTTGTGAAACCACAGAGGGACGTGGCGAGTACCGACAGTGCTAAACACAAAAGGTGACCTGGTGTAAAAAAAATAAAATAACAATTGAGAGGTACCTTTCAGGTTTTGTTGATTTCACCGTATCGTAATTTTTCGGGTCAACGAGACGGGAGTTTTGCAAGCTGTCGCCGGTGTGTTGGGGATGTACAACGACAGCCCACTGGCGATCTGGCATCCTTGTAAAGCAATGGCGTAATGTGCATGACCTCTCGTTAGCGCACCGTTGGCTACCTACGGTGTGAAAGAAGTTCATGACATAGGTGACACTTGCCACTGGAACACTCGCGGTCACTTCGTTCAGGAGAGGCGGGCCGGAGATTATTTGTTGCCGTTGCAAGTTCGACGTCAACAGCAGACTTGCCTAGTTCGCCAGAGCGGTATTACCTGCTGTGACAAGGATCGGAGAGGTGGACTTTGACGGGAAAAAAGTAAGAGGTGAATTGCACCGAGTGATAAAAATGGGAATGGAGCGACAAAAATAGGAACGCACATGACGGAAGTGCAAGCTTAAGTTAGAACCTTCATACTGAGTGCGAAGAAAGGTTATTAACCCTTTGCCGTTCCGATGTAAGCCTGCACAGGTCGACCCCCTCCCTACCTTTCATCACGCTAAGTCCGCCTATTAAAATGCAAATTGTTATGCTAATTCCATTGTCAAGGCACCTTAATCCCTCTCACACAGCTTAAAAGCCGTGATCTGAGCTTGGCTCTGCTTCACTCCAGCGCAGTCTTCCAGACAGTCTGGTCCCTTCACCTGATGAAGGCAGCTTGTGTTGTGGCCGAAACGTCGTGATTTTTGTTTTATTTTTTACCTACGTGACTTTACCTAATAGAACCAAAGAGTATGGATCCTTGCAGTCACGAAAGCTTCAAATCTAGAAGAGATGTAAAATAACTTTATCGGTACGTTTTCAGGTCGGAAGACGTGCCGAGCCTTCCACACGGCCATGCTGGGAAGGGGGGCGCATGGCACAGTTTGGCGCCCAGCTATTCTTGAGTGCGGTAGTGTCGCTACAGTTCTCTGCGGTGAATAAAATGTCCGTTGAAAGCAACGGCGCTTTGCCACTCGAACCTAGCGCGTTCCGAGATTCAGCGGTGAACGGTGGACCCCCCCCCCATAACTTTTTGCAGACGTAATAAAGAATTAAAGCTTTTGTGACTGCATAAAATTACTCATTGGCTTTTTCGGTAAAGTCACAATCACGTCGTGATTGTTTTGTTTTGTTTCAATATTTTATTGTATTTCTACATACGTGACTTTACCGAAAAAGCCAATGAGTAATTTTTGCAGACGTCTCAGAAGGGGGTCACACGTGGGCTTTGGCAGAGCACGTCGCTCGAAGGGGTCAATAACCCAGCGGTTGAGACGAACGACAGTGGCAGCTCCAAGGAGGGAAGAAGCCCAAGACGTCCGCCACGTAGATGGGGGCGACAAAACCAGCTCTCGTGCGCCCACGTGCGTCGCATAATTGAGACGGCGACGATTAGGATTTGTATGCACTGTATGTTGAACTTCCTTCACACGGCACGTAGCCAACCTTGCTAATGGGAGGTGCGGGGGAAGGTCAAACTAATATGTATGTCCCCGTCACCCGTCCCCCCCCCCCCCCAAATAGAAACAGGGTGCTTCAATTTTTTTTGACATTTTTATGGGACTGTCGTTTTTAATGGAAAAAATAACGGATAATAAGACACTGTAACATGATGACAAATGTAATGTTCATAGCTTCAACAAGTCAAAGAGTCTCCCACTTGCTCGCCATCGTTGTTAACACGTGGCCTGGAATCTTCTCCACGTGGTCTGCCAGAGCCTGGAGGCAGCAGCACATGTCACGTGGTGTCGTTGCAAATTCCCACAAGTGTTAACATTTTCATCTTGATTTGAGGCTTGCGTTGCGCCCGAAACGTCGTGATCTATTATTTTTCCACCTACGTGACTTTACCGAAAGACCCAAAGGGTATGTTAACATTTTCTTGAAGCACCCTGTATATCAGCCTCCCACTCCCCCCTCAACGGAAGGACCCCCCCCTCAAGGCGGGCTACCGAGCATTCCTCGCCCCACCTATACACGACCAAGTGCCGAAAGATCCCCTTCCCCAGAAAACCATCGGACGGCGTTATACCGGGCTTCGGTGCTTACCACCACCACCACCACAACAACAACAACAACAACAAACCGAACGTGTACGTTTGGGAGGTGGGCGCGCGACGTGACGTCACGGGAAGTCGTCCGGCACGTCCAGGCGTGCGGCGCGGGCCTGCGTGTACGCCATGAAGCTGCAGCACGCCGCCTGGAAGAGTGCGAAGGAGAGGTGGGGCCGGCGCACGGCCTTGGAGACCCGCCACAGGAACGCCAGCTGCCGGCCTTGCGGCGGAAGCTCGATTGTTCGGTGCCTGCCGCCGGGAGCAGCGAGAACGAATCGGGATCAGAAGTTTTTTTGGTCTTTATTTATCCTGGGAAAAAATCCGACGAGCCGCGAAGCTCTTTTTCACAGGCGTCTGGTGGTAGGGGCGAGGTGAACGAGTTGACAACAAAACAATAAAAATATAAATTTGGTGAAAAAAAAATGTTTTTCAATGCACACACTTTTCCTTGCACTCAAAAGTAGAAAATACATTATTTTGACCCCAGAAGTAGTAAAATTTGATGCGCTGAATAAAAGCGGGTGGTTTCCTTGCGATATGTTTGATTTTATTCATGCAAGTGTGTAAGAAAAAGCGATAGGAGTGCAAAGTACAGGAAATCCCCTAGCCAACCGCGTTTTCATGTGTGCGCGGTTTGTTATTTGTACACCATTTTACGAACCGTGGCCTGGAAGTGTGAGTTTGCACGGATAAGCACGGTGTTACGGGAAGTCAAATGACGTAGGTGTTACGTCACTGCATTACAGCATGACATCTTTGTCTTGCGTGACGTCACTGTTACAAATTTCGCGGGCTGACCGAAAAGGGCTGCACGTGGACAAAGCTGCGTGTGCCCCCTTTTGGTGCCTTTTGGCTTCACTTACTGCACTGCGAGCCGGTAGTTGGGAGGGATGGTCAGCAGCACGGGGAAGACTCCGGACACCACGAAGCCAACGAGGGCGCCGCTCGCCACCGCCACGCTCGTGGAGGAATTCTCACCTGACCGCACCGCACGGCACCTCCGGGTTAGCATGGTTGGCTGCGTGCGGTGCGAAATAAGTTCAACGTACGGCTGAACGGCAACATCCACGCAACAACCACGGCGCGGACGAGCAAACGGTCAAAGTCGTCGTATTTGGACGACCTGGTACTCGTGCCATTCTTGCAGCGCAGGGCTACGTTTAAAGCTCATTTATTTTCACGAGCACAATTCCACGCGCGCGTCGCGAGCGTAAGGAGTGACTTTTAACGGTCGAATCTAAGCATCGATGAATCGGAATATTTCATACTGGAGCAACGCGATGGGGCACATGCTGCGAGTGCACGAAACGACACCTCGGAGGATGGGCGCAGACACCAGGCTGGTGTACGCGACGGTGGTCGTCAGGAAGGGCAGGAAGGACAGGGGGAAGCTGCTCGCGAACGCCGCCCGCTTGACGCGCAGCAGCCGCCGCCAGTAGCTGTTGGCGATGAGGCCCATGAAGGCGGCGTTGAAGCCCATGGCCGGCGGTCCGAGCAGAAACTGACCCCTGTGTCAAGATATCGCTGACCGTTACGGCTCTGCCGAAGCACTTGGCCAGATTTGACGCGAAGGTGAAAGGAACTGGAGGCGAAAGGAACGATGGTTTTATTTTATTCTTAAGTCAGATGTAATGCAGACTGTCAAATCTAAAAAATGTGACGCAATTATAAAGTAACGCTCACTGTGCCTGGCCAGGTGCCACAATGACGAGAGGACTCGAATCACAATTGGAAGTTGTACGAGCTCAAAGCCTGGATGACTAGAAAGAATTTGACTTGACTTTGTAGCACGCACAGATGTCACGTGATGTCGTGTTGTGGCTAAAGACAAGGAAGTGAGTTTGACAAATCTGCTCTTTTATTGGTCACATTTTCTAACAGAGTACTGCATTATTTCTGCGCAGGGCTGGCTTTTAAATTTCATTCCAGAAAATGTGAAATCATACCTGTCATCAGCGGCAAGTTTGTTTATTTTCGTTCGTTCGCGCTCGCCGTAAAACATGAGCCACACAGAATCCGATCCATCTGGATGGAAGGCCCTGGCACGATCCATTTGCTCCGATCTGTAAGGCACGGCAACTGCAAACCCGCGTGAGACCCAGCGGCACAGCCAACGGGTTTTGTGCTGGCGCTGCAACTGCACCAGCGTCCACGGGCTGGAGGGGAGGGGGGGGGGCAGGGTCAAGGGATACAAAGAGGGGGTGCGGAAGGTGGACAGAGGAAGGGCCCCCAAATGGAATTCCGTGCACCAGGGGGGGAGGGGGGACCCTTGTCAACCACGGTACATTACTGATCACAATAATCGTCAACTTAATATATATAAAAAGCCAGAACCCTGATGTCACACTAACTCCGTAACGCTATCGTTAATAATCATGAGCGGGTGACGTCACTCCACATGGGGGGGGGGGGGTGGGAGGCCCCTCCTCCCTCTTCACCGAGAACTTATAACCCTCATTAAAAAGCCATAGAAGGAAAAAGGACGTCATGATGAACAAGGGATATAATAACCGTGAAATAAAATCAGTCTGTGTTACCGGCCTTACAAATTGCACACTAATGGATGCACTGACTATGACCTAAATTTCTGCTTTTCGCTTGAATATTTCAGATTTACTGCAATACACCCGTCCTTGGCAAGGCGACATGCTAGTGAATATAATGATGAGTTTATCCTGGGCAGCGTCTCTTGAGCCACAACTATTTACCAGGAGGATATTCAGTTAAGAGACCATGCGAAAGAACAAAAATCACTCGGAACGTGCTCAATCTTGTCGAATCAAAGAGGCTCAGCCGCTCTGGGCCTGTACGGTGCATGGGTGGCCGACCATCACGCGCAACAGGTTGCCATAGGTGGGCTGTGAGGCCACGTGGTGGGCAGTACAGGGCAGAGTGGCAAGCAGAATCTACTTCTACGTCAAACCGCACGGACCAGCGGGGTGAAGTATGGCTCAATAACCTCCAAGACCCGCATGGTGCAGGGGTGGTCTTGAGAAAACCCATGCACGAGAGGTAATAAAATGCACAGATGCTGGTGGGTGTCTTACGCACGCTCCGTCTCTACTTGATCCACCAACCCTACCACAAAGTTGTCATCATAGCACCGAGCCGAACTCACAAACAATATTGTTTCCCATTCTTGGTTCTTTCAGTAAAGTCACGTAGAAGGGAAACAATAAAATAATAATAAAAAGCAAAGATGTTTTAATTATTTAATAATTATTATTTTATTGTTTCCCTTCTACGTGACTTTACCGAAAGAACCAAGAATATGAATCCCTGCAGTCACGAAAGCTTTAAATTAAAAAAAATATTGTTTCCCGTTCAAATTTCCAGCTGGTGGAGTGGTGGTGCAGTGTTTAGCACGCCGGGCCACGGCTAACATCAGTGGCGAGTGCTTGCTACGATTCGGTCCTGGCCCATCTACCTCCCCGCCCTCACCCTTCACGAAATCGCATTGACCAGCGAGGGGAAGTATGGTCAAACAACTCCCACGGGGAAGACTTCTTAACAGCGGAAGACTGAAAAAAGGGGGCGGGGGGGTGTTGTAAAAAAAAAACGAAATCATGCAAAATTAATGGCGGATACTAATTGCATACTGAAAGAATCATCACAGCAAGGATGTGCCTTATCACCACAGTGGGAATAGTGTCTGGTGCAGGGAATGACAAATGGAATCGTTAAATCCCACCCAACCCAGTTCATGTGTTTACTGTATTGGGTATTAACATACAATAATGCTACAATTAGAAAAGTCTAATAACAAACGGCAGTGCCTGTAAACAACAAGACACAAACAATTCACCGAGATACAGAATATTCATACTCTTTGGTTCTTTCGGTAAAGTCACGTAGGCAGAAAATAGAATAAATCACGACGTTTCGGGCGCAACACAAACGTCCATCATCAGGTGGGAAACAGTCTGCCTCAGCAGCAGACCACGCTTTCCCACCTGATGATGGACGCTTGTGTTGCGCCAGAAACGTCGTGATTTATTTGATTTTTCTACCTACGTGACTTTACCGAAAGAACCAAAGAGTATGGATTCCTGCAGTCACGAAAGCTTCAAATCAAAGATACAGAATATTTGTTGTGTGTGTCTATGTTGTGTGTCTCTGTGTGTCTGTGTTGTCTCTCTCTCTCTCTGCTTGTGTGTCTGTTTGTGTGTTCTCCGTGTCTGTGTTTTGTCTCTCTCTCAAATGTAGTCGTACCTGATGACGGTTACTTGTGTTGCAATCGAAACGTCGTATTCTATTATTTAATTTATTTTCTTTCTACCGAGACTTTACCGAAAGAATCAAAGAGTAAGAAGTGCAGTCACGAAAGCTTCAAATCAGGATACAGAATATTTGTTGTACAGTACTGGACTGAATTGGTCCCCACGTGTATGTCCCGCACTTCGCTACACCAGCGCGCACTAACCGGCGTGGTGAAGTATGCTCAAATAATCCCCACGATCCACACGGTGTTGGCAAGGACCTTTCATCCAGCAGTGGATTATCACGAGAGCCTGTACACATACACACGTACAATTAGTTAAGAGGCACAGCACAGTTGCATTTATCTTCGATAAATCACGCCCTGGTACTGGCAAAGGAGGTCTAATGATGTAGATGCTGACGCCGAGCCCTCATTACTTTGATAGTGGCATTGTCTTTGAGCTGTACGCCTTTTGGCGTCCTCTGGTCTAGCACCGTTTGAGACGAGGCTCAAAAGAAAGCTGTCTCTGGTGTGGACCAATCAGTTTCAAAGACAATGCATGTATTATCAGAGTGTGTTTTTTTTGCATTTTGACCACAAGTATTGTGGTTAATGCAGACATGATTCCTTGTAAAAAGGTTTCAGTTTTGTTGCCTGAAAAAAGGGGAAAAGCCCTATTATTATTATTATTCTACTTTCTTTTGTTGGCCGTTTTCAGAGGCCTCACTGAAAGCATAGTGGCTTTTGCTTCAAGGCGGCTGTTAACCGAAGACTTGTGCCATACCTGTCAACCCCTTATCAGTGCCTCCCGTATTATACACCAATTCGGACCAAAAAAAACACAACCGGTGTGCTGTACTAGTGACGAATTGGCCACGTTCTGTTTACGTGACAACCCTTACTAGTTGGCTGTGTCGGGTGGTGGCGGGTTTTAACGACACATTTATATATTTACGCGATCTAACCCAAAACGACCTCTTATGGATGATATTGGTCGCAAAAGCCTACGTGTTAAACAACAACGCTGCAATGCACTCACTCAAACCAACGACCCGCTTTAACCTTGAGTACGTGGCAATATTCGGTGATGGATGCTGCCCCCGCTACTGCGTTGGAAGTGGTGGACGAGCACAATTAGCAATAATAATACAAAGTATCAAATCTTAACACATTCCGCAATCACGCTGTGGGTATTTAAAGAAAACGTGCATAGATGTCAATCCATACGGTTTATACCCCGTATTCTTGTACAGGGAAATAGAGTTTTCAGGTCCATACGGCGAACAGCCGTTTTCAATAGGGGCCAAAAATATATTTGTCTACTGTATTTGTGTTTCTCCCTTGTGATGGGACTTTGTAGGATGAACTTTGAGATTTATAAGGGGCACGGGGTGACCAATCAGGTCTGAATTGGTCTGTAATAAGGTAGGGCACTGATAAGGGGTTGACAGGTATGTAGTGGTGAGTGCAGTGGTGAGTGTACTAGTGGTGAGTGTACAAGTGGTGAGTGTACTAGTGGTGAGTGTACTAGTGATGAGTGTACTAGTGGTGAGTGTAGTGGTGTGTGTAGTAGTGGTGATAGTCTATTTGTGTTTCTCCCTTGTGATGGGACTTTGTAGGATGAACGTTGAGATTTATAAGGGGCACGGGGTGACCAATACGGTCTCAATTGGTCTGTAAAAAGGTGGGCACTGATAAGCGGTTAACAGCTATGGAATGTAATAGGCAATGGCCCTTCTAGCACATAAATGACTCCCACCTTAGCGTTACGTGCATCCTACATTGTAAATCATTCGTCCCACTTTTAACTCTCACTTTACCCAGCCAACATGCCAACCTTGGCGTGTGCTTCGGTAACCATGTTAACTGGGTAGCCGCTTTCACAACGGCCGACTACAACGCTGCTATTATCTAGATTACATTAAAATGTAATTAAATCCTCTTGGCGTCAACCCCTTTATAAAGTCACCGCATGGCCCGAAATCCGCGCAGCCAAAATACGAACAAGAAGACAGACCCCCCCCCAATTTTTTTTTCCCAAATTCGCCACTAAGTGGCGGTGACGTCACAACGGCGCCTGTGCCAGGATAGGTGCACTTTGAGGCCGCGTGAAGTGTCGAAGGCTCGCTTGCTGGCAAGGAGGTCAGGGGACAGACCCGGGTGGTTGCCGTGGGTTGACCTACTGAGATGACCGGCAGATGCACCCAGCTGTGCCCTCTACTGTGCCAACAGGTTGCATTTTATCCGCTCGTTACTGCGAGCGTCGCTCCTACGCCCTCCGCCGTTGCTTGGAGGGCGACTGCCTCCAACTGCCCAGCAGCAGCGTCCTTCACGAGCCTCCTCCTCCACCAGAGAGGCCGATCTTGACTCCGCTGGTCCACATCCTCGTTTAGCGTCCCCCTCCCTTACCCTTCTCTCTATCCTTGCCACATAGAAGCTGTTTGGGTAACAACAACCAGAACACACGCACGTGTGTGTGAGTGTACGCGTGTTTTGTTTTTACCCCCTGGGCGCAGCCATCTTGTCGGTGACGCCACCCGTCGAGCGCGGTTGCACCGATTGGCCGACGTTGCGGATGACGTCACGTCAGGGGCGAAGCGGGGAATGGTGGGGGAGTGGTGGGGGTGGTGGGGGAGTGGTGGTAGTAGGGGAGTGGTGGGGGTGGTGGGGGAGTGGTGGGGGTGGTGGGGGAGTGGTGGGGGTGGTGGGGGAGTGGTGGGGTAGTGGTGGGGGTGGTGGGGGAGTGGTGGGGGTGGTGGGGGAGTGGTGGGGGTGGTGGGGGAGTGGTGGGGTAGTGGTGATAGTGGGGGAGTGGTGGTAGTGGGGAAGTGGTGGTAGTGGGAGAGTGGTGGTAGTAGGGGAGTGGTGGTAGTAGGGGAGTGGTGGTAGTGGGGTAGTGGTGGTAGTGGTGGTAGCGGGAGAGTGGTGGTAGTGGGGGAGTGGTGGTAGTAGGGGAGTGGTGGTAGTGGGGTAGTGGTGGTAGTGGGGTAGTGGTGGTAGTAGGGGAGTGGTGGTAGTGGGGTAGTGGTGGTAGTGGGGTAGTGGTGGTAGTGGTGGTAGCGGGAGAGTGGTGGTAGTGGGGGAGTGGTGGTAGTGGGGGAGTGGGGGAGTGGTGGTAGTAGGGGAGTGGTGGTAGTGGGGTAGTGGTGGTAGTGGGGGAGTGGTGGTAGTGGGGGAGTGGGGGAGTGGTGGTAGTAGGGGAGTGGTGGTAGTGGGGGAGTGGTGGTAGTAGGGGAGTGGTGGTAGTGGGGGAGTGGTGGTAGTGGGAGAGTGGTGGTAGTGGGGGAGTGGTGGTAGTAGGGGAGTGGTGGTAGTGGGGGAGTGGTGGTAGTGGGGGAGTGGTGGTAGTGGTGGTAGTGGGTTAGTGGGGGAGTGGTGATAGTGGGAGAGTGGTGGTAGTAGGGGAGTGGTGGTAGTGGGGGAGTGGTGGTAGTGGGGGAGTGGTGGTAGTGGGGTAGTGGTGGTAGTGGGTTAGTGGGGGAGTGGTGGTAGTGGGAGAGTGGTGGTAGTGGGGGAATGGTGGTAGTGGGGTAGTGGGGGAGTGGTGGTAGTAGGGGAGTGGTGGTAGTAGGAGAGTGGTGGTAGTGGGGTAGTGGGGGAGTGGTGGTAGTAGGGGAGTGGTGGTAGTGGGGTAGTGGGGGAGTGGTGGTAGTGGGGGAGTGGTGGTAGTAGGGGAGTGGTGGTAGTAGGGGAGTGGTGGTAGTGGGGTAGTGGGGTAGTGGGAGAGTGGTGGTAGTGGGGGAATGGTGGTCGTGAGGGAGTGGTGGTAGTAGGGGAGTGGTGGTAGTGGGGTAGTGGTGGTAATGGGGTAGTGGGGGAGTGGTGGTAGTGGGGTAGTGGTGGTAGTAGGGGAGTGGTGATAGTAGGGGAGTGGTGGTAGTGGTGGTAGTAGGGTAGTGGTGGTAGTGGGAGAGTGGTGGTAGTAGGAGAGTGGTGGTAGTGGGGTAGTGGTGGTAGTGGGGTAGTGGGGGAGTGGTGGTAGTGGGGGAGTGGTGGTAGTAGGGGAGTGGTGGTAGTGGGGTAGTGGTGGTAGTGGGGGAGTGGTGGTAGTGGGGGAGTGGTGGTAGTGGGGTAGTAGGGGAGTGGTGGTCGTGGTGGTAGTGGGGTAGTGGTGGTAGTGGGGGGAGTGGTGGTAGTGGGGGAGTGGTGGTAGTAGGGGAGTGGTGGTAGTAGGGGAATGGTGGTAGTGGGGGAGTGGTGGTAGTGGGGGAGTGGTGGTAGTGGGGGAGTGGTGGTAGTGGGGGAGTGGTGGTAGTGAGGGAGTGGTGGTAGTGGGGGAGTGGTGGTAGTGGGGGAGTGGTGGTAGTGGGGTAGTCGGGGAGTGGTGGTAGTGGGGTAGTGGTGGTAGTGGGTTAGTGGGGGAGTGGTGGTAGTAGGGGAGTGGTGGTAGTGGGGTAGTGGTGGTAGTGGGGTAGTCGGGGAGTGGTGGTAGTAGGGGAGTGGTGGTAGTGGGGGAGTGGTGGTAGTGGAGTAGTGGTGGTAGTGGGTTAGTGGGGGAGTGGTGGTAGTGGGGGAGTGGTGGTAGTAGGGGAGTGGTGGTCGGGGTGGTGGGGGTGGTGGGGGTGGTGCGGGTGGTGCGGGGGGTGGTGGTGGGGGGTGGAGCGATTGAGAAGACACGTGGTCGCTTCTCGCTCCACGTGTGTTGTGGGGGCTTCTGTTGAGGCCGCATTGCAATGCATGCATAGGGCGAAGGAGTCGCTAATGCAACCGCGTTTGCGTATAACATTGCATGTCTTATAACACGGCATAGAAAAATATAGACAATATAACGTTGCAATTTCGTGTCAATTATTTCTTAGTGTTTGTATGGGAGGCTGCATTGCACAGGCTGCGCTACTACTACTGTCGTGGTATTTTAAAAAGCGAATATATTGGTTCATAAATCGTACTAGTTTTTTGGGGTTCTGCGGTGTTATAGCCCCTGCTGTCAAACAATGCCTCTGTGCAAGCAAGGTGCGTTGGGGAATGTGTGGGTTCTGCGTGCATATGTGGTGGTGTGCGTGTGTGGTGTGTGTGTGTGGTGCGCCGTGTTTGTGCGGTGTGTGTGGTTGGTGTGTGTTTGGTGTGTTGTAGTGTGTGTGGTTGGTGTGTGTTTGGTGTGTTGTAGTGTGTGTGGTTGGTGTGTGGTGTGTGTGGTTGGTGTGTGGTGTGTGTGCATGTATGGGGTGTGTAGTGCGTATGGTGTGTGTGTGTGGTGTGTATGTGTAGTGTGTGTGTGGAATGTGTAATTGGTGTTTGTGCGGGTGTGGTGTGTGTGGTTGGTTTGTGTTTGCGTGTTGTAGTGTGTGTGGTTGGTTTGTGGTGTGCGCAAATGCACATGAGCTATTGATTGTAGCGTGTGTTGGTGGTGGGTTGTGATTGTGGTGGTGGGTTATGTTCGTGGTGGGTTGTTATTGTGGTGGTGGTGATTGTGGTGGTGGTTGTGGTTGGGGGAGCGGTGGTGCAGCGGTTAGCGCGCGCTGCGCAACAAGAAACCGGCACTTGGCCCCTACAGTCTGTGAAGGCTACACGGGGGATCTTTGTGTTCGTGTTGGGTTGTGTTCCTGGTGCATTGTGTTCGTGTTGTGTTTGTGTTGGGGATGTTTGTGCTCGGTTTGTGCTGGGTTGTGTTTGTGGTGGGGTTGTGTTTGTGTTGTGCTGGGTTGTGTTTGTGGTGTGTTGTGTTTGTGTTGTGCTGGGTTGTGTTATGTTGTGTTTGTGGTGGGTTGTGTTTGTGGTGGGGTTGTGTTTGTGCTGGGTTGTGTTTGTGGTGTGTTGTGTTTGTGTTGTGCTGGGTTGTGTTATGTTGTGTATGTGTTGTGTTTGTGGTGGGTTGTGTTTGTGGTGGGGTTGTGTTTGTGGTGGGTTTTGTTTGTGGTGGGGTTGTGTTTGTGGTGGGGTTGTGTTTGTGCTGGGTTGTGTTTGTGGTGTGTTGTGTTTGTGTTGTGCTGGGTTGTGTTATGTTGTGTATGTGTTGTGTTTGTGGTGGGGTTGTGTTTGTGGTGGGTTGTGTTTGTGGTGGGGTTGTGTTTGTGGTGGGGTTGTGTTTGTGGTGGGTTGTGTTTGTGGTGGGTTGTGTTTGTATTGGGTTGTGGTTGTGTTGTGTTTGTGGTGGAGTTGTGTTTGTGCTGGGTTGTGTTTGTGTTTGGTTGTGTTCATGGTGGGGTTGTGTTGTGTTTGTGGTGGGGTTGTGTTGTGTTGGGGTTGTGTATGTGGTGGGGTTGTGTTTGTGTTGTGCTGTGTTTGTGGTGGGGTTGTGTGTGCTCGGTTTGTGTTGGGTTGTGTTTGTGGTGTGTTGTGTTATATTTGCTGGGTTCTTTTGGGTTGTGTATGTGTTGAGTTGTGTTTGTGTTGGGTTGTGTTTGTGTTGGGTTGTGGTTGGGTTGTGTTTGTGGTGGAGTTGTGTTTATGGTGGGGTTGTGTTTGTGGTGGGGTTGTGTTTGTGGTGGGGTTGTGTTGTGCTGTGTTTGTAATGGGGTTGTGTTTGTGTTGTGCTGTGTTTGTGGTGGGGTTGTGTTTGTGGTGGGGTTGTGTTTGTGTTGTGCTGTGTTTGTGATGGGGTTGTGTTTGTGTTGTGCTGTGTTTGTGGTGGGGTTGTGTTTGTGGTGGGGTTGTGTTTGTGTTGTGCTGTGTTTGTGGTGGGGTTGTGTTTGTGGTGGGGTTGTGTTTGTGTTGTGCTGTGTTTGTGGTGGGGTTGTGTTTGTGTTGTGCTGTGTTTGTGGTGGGGTTGTGTGTGCTCGGTTTGTGTTGGGTTGTGTTTGTGGTGTGTTGTGTTATGTTTGCTGGGTTGTTTTGGGTTGTGTATGTGTTGAGTTGTGTTTGTGTTGGGTTGTGTTTGTGGTGGGGTTGTGTTTGTGTTGGAGTTGTGTATGTGGTGGGGTTGTGTTTGTGGTGGGGTTGTGTTTGTGGTGGGGTTGTGTTTGTGTTGGGTTGTGGTTGGGTTGTGTTTGTTGTGGAGTTGTGTTTGTGTTGTGTTTGTGGTGGGGTTGTGTTGTGTTGGGTTGTGTTTGGTTGTGTTTGTGGTGGGGTTGTGTTTGTGGTGGGGTTGGGTTTGTGGTGGGGTTGTGTTTGTGTTGTGCTATGTTTGTGGTGGGGTTGTGTGTGCTCGGTTTGTGTTGGGTTGTGTTTGTGGTGTGTTGTGTTTGTGCTGTGTTGTGTTGGGTTGTGGTTGGGTTGTGTTTGTGGTGGGTTGTGTTTGTGTTTGGTTGTGTTCGTGGTTGGGTTGTGTTGTGTTTGTGGTGGGGTTGTGTTTATGGTGGGGTTGTGTTTGTGGTGGGGTTGTGTTTGTGGTGGGGTTCTGTTTGTGGTGGGTTGTGTTTGTGTTTGGTTGTGTTCGTGGTGGGGTTGTGTTGTGTTTGTGGTGGGGTTGTGTTTATGGTGGGGTTGTGTTGTGTTGGGTTGTGTTTGGTTATGTTCGTGGTGGGGTTGTGTTGTGTTTGTGGTGGGGTTGTGTTTGTGTTGGGGTTGTGTTGTGTTGGGCTGTGTTTGGTTGTGTTCGTGGTGGGGTTGTGTTTGTGTTGGGTTGTGTTTGTGGTGGTTGTTGTGTTTGTGGTGGGGTTGTGTTTGTGTTGGGTTGTGTTTGTGGTGGGGTTGTGTGTGCTCGGTTTGTGTTGGGTTGTGTTTGT